CTGGTCCTCTGTTATGTTGCTCAGGAATAACACATCAATCACTGGAATCTCTCACTTCCTTGATCTTAATACCACTCCTTACACGGATAAAAGACCTTAATTTCCATACTTCTAAGCCCACTCCCTGGCCTATGTCTAGTGCAAAAAAGAAAAGACTTTCACATCCGGGCTTTGAGAAAGCTCTTAGTGGTTCTCAGGTTCCACCTCGGGGTTGGCTCACAAAGCCCACCACACCTCCAGAGTGAGTAATGGAAGGAACAAGCCCCGTAAGTGTTACGTGAGAGGGCCCACCCTCAGACCTAAATAGGTCTTGGTTACATCAGCCATACCACTGGGGTTGAAAAGAAACCCACACTATCACACCAATGTTTCCAGTTAGGACCTAGCAGGTATGAAATAAATGTTCAGCTTTTTTAAACAGTTTTTCGAAAAGTGCTTTTGTCTATTATAAAAAGTCAAGAGCCTAGGGGGCACCTCATTAAATCCTTGCACTCCCACCCTATCTTCACCTCCATTCTCTTCCTGGCTAACTCCATTCTTCCCACCCCCCTGAGAGCCCTCAGGCAGCCCTGACTTTTACACTCTCCACTCTGCCCCTCTGCCACTAAGGTAGTTCAGTGGCTTAAAAATACCCAAGGCCCTCACTCCTAATATAAACCCTCCTATTCATCAGCTCCATTCTCCTATCAGCTTGGAATTAGAAGAAGAAAGAGGAAAAAAAAGTTCTCCCATGAAGTATGAAGTAACCCTTTTCTTTCACTAGATATTAAAGAATCACCAGCAGAACGTTCTGTACTGAGAGGAAGATTGGATGTCTTCTAAGTCCCTTCCCATTAACAGTTTATTATTAAACAGACATATACTAAATAGGAAGTGACAAATGCCTTGCTCCTGAAAATCTGCACACCACTGCAGAAGTAGTTTGCTTGCTGCATCCCCGGTGGGACTTAAGAGAGAGATGGGATGTGTATACCCAGCCTCCTGTCCCTTGACATATGGCTGATCTGGGGAGAGGAAAAATCAAGAAGTTTTTGTGGAAACTTAGTCACCTACTTATGGGTGAGGAAATAAAAGAAGCGGGGAAATGAACAGAAAGCCTCTTCAAGACCACTCAACCGCTGCACGCGTAACGGAGCGGGGCCAGGAATGGGGATGCAGTGTGGCCACAAACCTCCTCCCCTGCAGGTGGTCACAGTCAAAAGTCAGCCACCATTCATCTTCTTTTCTCTATCAGTTTCCTCACCGGAATTGAAGATTTAGTTTGCTTAGTTCCCAAAGAAAATATAATAATGATAATAATAGCTCTCTCCTTACCTTGTGATCTCCATCCCTTCTAAATCTGACTTCATTTATCTCAAAAGAAAAAAAAAATCTCTAGGCCTCACCTGAGTCAACAGTATACACTAGTCACCATTGAAAAACATAATAGAAATGTAATCAATGTGCTTGTAAGAAGGAAAGCCATACTACAAAGTAAAGTGAGACCAAAATATCATTGTTATTACCTCTAACCCTCAACCTGCCCCCAGGATTGCCAGCATCTGCACAAATGTCTCTCTCTCCTCACCTATTCAAGCAACTGGGTACAAGGTAAGTAAACCACCTCTTACTCAATTTCATTGTGTTTTCTGTTCAATTAAACAAAGAAAATTAGTATATGTCATAGTTTCCCTTCTAAAAATTCTTTCCCTTGCAAATATAAGCTAATTTAACCAACTTGGCACCTGAACACTTATGGAAGTATGCCATCACCAAACCAAGTGTGCTTCAACCAAAGCTTCAACCAAGCTTTTAGAATCTCCCATTTGTATTTTGAATACAACCCCCGTCTGCATTTTAGAAAGGAAGCTTTGTACTGGGAATACCAAACGACCACAAGCTAGGGGGCAAGGGAGACAAACATGTGGGTACAGAAATGCCAGCAAAATGTGCCTGAGCTTAAAGTCAAGCGACAGCTTTCCCAGGCATCAGCATCTTGGGCTTTCAACACCAACTTACTCTTAAAGGAGGAGGACTTTTTGTCAGTTGGAATCATCTTAGAAAACTGAAATATATTTATAAAATGGATGTCAAGGGGGAGGTTTTTATTGACTATTAAAGTCAGGAAAATGTTCCTGCCCAGGATGGCTCTGATGGGCAGATATTTTCTGAGAAAGGACAGCTGAGGCCTCTGGTCATTTTATGTCAATGGCTCAATGAGTTGGTCTCCTTTTCCCCCTTGTTCCCTCCCCATGATTCTCTCTCCCTTTTTTGCAATCCCTACGGCTACATCTCAACCTGCTACCCAAAATATGCTCATGGCAGTGGCTTAAAGGGACAGGAATCACCACAAAAGATTGCACACACGTGGATGCATATCATATGCAACTCATTGACTGAAGATGCCTATGGTGATTTTTCTCAAAAAGACTTGTCAGCTTAAAATTATAAATGACTTCAACTGCTGATATCTGTTTCATTTTGGCTATTAGGTGGTCAGGATGTCTAATATAGGAAGGGGAAAATGATCAAATGTCCCAGAAATCAACAGACCCTTGTTTGCCTTTTATTTTAATGATTAAAATTCACTTCTAACTGAAGACAGTACCAACTGTTTGTTCTATCCTTTGAAATTAAAAAGAAATCAAACATTAAAAAAAAAAAACATATTACCCCGGTACAAAGTTAAGTTATAAGCTCTGAGGTAGAACATGCTTACTGTGCTTAAGTAATAAACCATGTACAAATTTAGCAACAACTCATCATATTAAATGTCGTTACCTTTGACACTGGCATTTTCCAGTATCATTACAGATAGCACTGGTTAAGGATGGCAGAAGTAATCAAATCCATTAAAGCCCAAGTCTCAAACAAAACTGCACTTCTGAAATAGCCTCCACAGCCTGCTCTGTACCTACAGTGCTCTCTCTCCTGGCTCCTAGCTCCCAGCTTGTGCTCATTTGATATTCCCAGCACAAAACTTCCCTTCTAAAATGCAGATGGGGATTGTATTCTAAATACAAACAGGTTGATTCTCAGAGCTGATCAATGGTTAAAGCACATTTGGTGACTGAACAGTTCTGTAAGGGTTCAGGTACCAAGTCGGTTACATTAGCTCATATTTACAAGGGAAAGAATAGAAGGAAAACTATCACATATAATTTTTTTTTGTCTTTTCACATTCACTTTTAAGGAACCAAGACAACATTTTAAAAGAAAGTGGTTTGCATCAAAAATTATCAATGGGTAAAGTTAAGTTTCAGTAACAACTTATGCAATTAATAATACCTGTAACATGTACTCCTGGGGGAACCTTAAGGTAATGTGCTCAAAGTTAAGAATGAAAAAGACTAATTAATCTGTTGAACATGGTCCATCTTTAGGAGGAAGCACTAAAAATAAGTCTTAAAAATAACTAGCTGTGGCTCAGTGGTTGAGTGTTGACCTCGGAAGCAGGAAATCATGATTCCATCCCAGGGCATGTGGCCAGGATGCAGGCTTGATCCCCAGTAGGGGGCGTGCGGGAGGCAGCCGATCAATGATTCTCTATCATCATTGATGTTTCCATCTCTCCCTCTCCCTTCCTCTCAGAAATCAATAAAAATATGTATATTTTTAAAAACTATAAGCCAGCAAATTGATTTTTCTTAATATGTGCTTTTAAAGTGCTATTTCCCATTCAGGACATAGGACTCCAAGCCGAGGCTGGCTCCTCCGCCTGATAGCTGAAAGCAACCAAAACAACAAATGTAAGACAACCAGGGCTTAAAGGTTATCACAAAAAGTGTAAAAACGAGTAGTTCATAGATAACCCAGCCACAAATAGCTTCCCACATTCCTGCATCTCCATCTTTGCTTAGAGAATGCACCACCCAAAAACAAAAGAAAGAGAGCGCACCACCCAGCTGGTATCACAAAGTATCCTTAGGTCCTGGGGGACTTATACTGACTACTGAGGTGGCTACCAGCATTTCAACACAGAAAAAAAAGCAAAACCATTCACCAAAATTATTTCTTAGCATTAATGTAAACTATAGGAAGGCATAGTTATGGTGCCTTTTTTCTCCAAAGAGGAAAAAATAAAATAAAAATCAACTGAACACTTTAAATTATTTGGAAACTTCATACTGCGGACGAAAGGCGCCACATGCTGACCTGACAAGCTCAGGGGAGGCCTGCATGGCAGTCTTGCAAATTTAGA